CAAGCTGGAGTTGGTAATGCCTCGCCAAGCCCCTAGCCTACCCCCTCACCCTGTGGATGTGCACTCACCCTACGGTACTTGCTGAGTCTGAGTCTGTCTGTCTTTCCTTTCTGCATCGAGTCTCTTCTGTCCTAAGTGGTAGCACTCTGTGGATGAAGGATAGTGCTTGGATGACGAAACCTTAGTCTGATCTTGTAGACTTGATGCTGTGGCTGATCCAACTTTCCAAGGGGGCCTAACCCTCCCAAGGACCGGTGCTGACCGGCTGGAAACGGTTGGTAGGACTCAGTGGGCCTGAACGGCAGCTAAGGCTGACACACCAGGCAGTCTTTAAGTGTTGAGGGCCTGTTGGAACCACTCCCCTACCAGACCAAGTAAGGCTGATGATCTGTGTCTGACGACTCGACTGTCCGGGGGGATACGAACCCTCCCAAGGACCGGTACAGACCGGCGGGCTGCTCGGTGTGGCACAGTAGGCCGGAAAGGCTGAGWTGTGGGCTGAAAGCACAGGCAGGAACCAAGYTGATCACGTCGTCYTGTCTGCGACGTTAAAGAATTCTTGCRAAGTTAGGGRGATCTCCTTAAATGCCTCCAGATCAGCAATTGGTTCAGTAGTGACAGCCTTAGAGTAGGTCTAGGCTAGCGACCATAGCTGACAGGGTTCTACCCTGTGGTCCTTAGAGAGTCAGTCAGTCAGTGGGTCAATGTCCGGGTAGGTCGAAGTGGTGAGGAGTGGAACTTTTTGTCGTGCACCTGACACCACTAAGGATGACTATCCAATGTATGGGTTACTTGTCGGGTTCTCCCTCTGGGGGACCCTTTGGCGTCTCCTCTTTCCTCTGGGCTTCTGGCCCACTTTCACGTGTAGAGTAGGAACTCGGGGTGGCACTTCCACCCAGCCTTACACGAAGGAGGAGGAGGAGAAGATGGCCGCCATCCTGCAGGAGAGAAAGGAGAAGGAGGAGGCCAAGAAGAAGGCCCTGCAGGAGGAGCAGGCAGCGAAATTGAAGAAGATAGAGGAGGAGATGGCTAGAGAAAAAGAGAGGTTGAAGAAGGAAGAAGAGGAGAAGTTGAAGGAGGTGGAAGAGGAAGAAGAAGATGAACCGCCACTGCAAAGGAGGAGAGGGCAGCACAGTGGCAACAAGGATGAAGAGATGGAGAAATGGATTTCGGAGTGGGTCGCCAACTTATCCCTGGGCGAAGAAGAAGCGGTAACTATGTACATCCCCAAGGATGAGCAAGAAGCCGCTATGAAGAAATGGGAAGCAGAAGAAGATGTTCTGAAGCGGCAGGCGATGAAAGATGAAACGAGGATGGTGTGGAAACTCGCAATGATGAGGGAGAAGAAAAGAAGAGTGGAGGCGGCGAGTGCAACAATGCAGGAATTGGCGGAGGTACGGACTTTAACTACTCAGTTGACCACCCAGGTAGACCTCCAACAAAAGGTACAGATCATCGCCCAAAGCGTCGAGCGTTTGGACAGAGTGCAAGAACAGCAATATGAGTTTAGCCGAAGCCAGGATATAGTTGTGCGTTCGATGCGGATGGGATTCCGGGACTTTGCCCGCGAATTGGTAGGCGCTGTGGGAGCCGAGGTGAATCATCCCCTCGAGAAGAATGAGCGTTTTTGTGTTGGCGCCATTGAAGGCGTCAAGGTGGCAGCTCCCAAGGAGGAAGAGCCGCGTCCTCGTAGGGAGCCGGTCAAAGTCAAATTCCCTGATTCCTACAGTGGGAAAAGGGAAGAAAACTTTGACAACTGGGAGGCCAACGTCAAGACCTATGTGCATCTGCAACAGGTCTCCCCCGATCAGCACGTGTTAATTGCCATTCATGCGCTTAGAGATGAGGCCGCCAGTTTCGCAAGGTCCCTAGTCCGCGCTGCCAACTGCAACAATGATGYAGTGGCCTACTCATCGTTCACCCCCCWCGTTGATTTCATGAAATTGTTGCGCGAGCGTTTTGCTGATGTCGCTCCMATTGTCAAGGCCTCAGATCAGCTCCAGACCATCCACGCTCRTAAATGGAAGAGKGTCAGGGCACTCAAGGGTACGATGGATGAATTGGTGGCTGTCCCTGACCATGGGGTCACGGAGGCCCAATTGGTCGGCCTCTTCTATCGGGCTATGCCCGAAGCCTTTCGAGGGCAGTTCTTCGCGAAGAGCGAAGATCCTGCCACCACTTATGATTCCCTTAGCCGTGAAGTGGTGGCTTTCGAGGCGAAGTCGGTGTCACTTTCTACCTTCTGGCACAAAGACCTCGACAAAGGAAAGCAATGGAAAGGCCGCACTATCTCAGGGCAAGTAAAGACCAAGGATAGCCTTGTCCTTACCTTAGATGAAGGTAGTGTGGACGAGATCCCCTACGCGCAGATTGAGTGGGGGTTAGAGGAGGAGGACAACGGTGTGAGCCAGGGGAGGACTTATGCTGCTGTCACGGCTGGAGGGAGGCCGCAAGGAGGAGGACGAGGCCAGGGCCAAGGGGGCCAGGCCTCAGGGAGCCGGTTTCAGGGCGATCAGGGGGTTGGCGGCAGGGGAGGAAACCGCCAAGCGGGAGGAAGGGGTCAAGGTCCCCCACAAAACCGTCCTAGGAATAGGTCTCCCTATAGGGTAGGTGGATGGCACCCAGGGCTACCTCAGGGTAGGCCTTGGGAAAGTCTGGGTCTGGACCAGAGCTTATGGCAACAACGTCTGGACCGGGGCCAGTGCATTTTCTGCGGTGACCCGGGCCATATCATTAAATATTGTCCTAAGTATAGAGAGACCCGGACGGCTGCTCAAGGGCCAAAAGGCAGCCGCTGGTAGGGGTAGCAACTGCCCCTACCATTAGGCCATGTGGGGAACATAGCGCTAGCCGGCAAAAGACTCCCACACCACATGTGCCTATGGCAGAGGTTGCAGGCCAGTGTCTAGATCGCTGTCCAGAGACTGCTTGTGTTAGAGTCTCTCTAGACACCTCCCTCACAGGCGTGGCTGATGAATTGAAGGAGAGGATGCCCGCCTGGGCCAAGATGAAGAAGGAGAATAAAGGGCAGCTTATATTACTAGATACAGAGATTTTTAGAGGTAGAGTAGGGGCCCTAGTAGATTCAGGGGCCACCCGCAGCTATATTAGTAGGAAAGCGCTGYAGAAGTTGAAGCTGGGACTTAAAGTCCAGAAACTAACAGACCCCATAGTTAGTATCCTYGCTGACAACCGTACAATGGTTGTAGAGGATTATGTAGAGGGAGTCCAGGCGTATTTCCGCCTAGAGAAAGATGGGAAAGTGGAGAAAGTCCTCCACTCCCTGACTMTCCTCGTAGAAGACAGCCTCCCATTYGATATTGTCCTGGGAATGGATTGGGGAGAGGCAGCCGGGGCCACACTCTATTTGAAAGAGCACGAGTGTAAGCTCCCTAGTCCTTCAGGCGAGGCTAAGACTGCCCGCCTGTTCCATGTGTCAGGAGTAGAGAATCCCCTGGCTCATTGCTGCCTTAGTGCACCTGCATTCGCGAGATTCGTGAAAAAAGGAGCACCTAGAAGAACAGGTCTTTGTAGCCTATGTTAGGCCAGTGACTGAGCCTAAGGAAGAGAAGCCTATAGACCCTGCTATTGTTAAACTGTTGGAGGAGTTTAAAGATCTAGCGGAGCCGCCGACAGGAGTAGTACCACGGCCCATCCAGCATCGCATTGAGATAGAGCCTGGCAGTAGAACTCCTAAGGGTGCRGTGTACAGGATGTCCCCGCGGGAGTTAGAGGAGCTTCGCAAGCAATTAGACGAGCTCCTTGAGAAGGGTTGGATTAGGCCCAGCTCGTCTCCTTTTGGAGCGCCTGTTCTCTTTGTCCCCGAGAAAGAGGGAGAGCTGAGGATGTGTATAGACTATAGGGGTCTGAATGTTGTTACAGAGAAGAATGCTGAGCCACTGCCTAGGATAGACGATCTTTTAGATCGAGTGCAGGGGGCAAAGTGCTTCTCCAAGATAGATTTGAAGTCCGGATATCATCTGATAGAGGTGCATCCTGATGATCAGTATAAGACAGCCTTCCGGACTAGATATGGGCACTATGAGTTTATAGTGATGCCCTTTGGACTAACCAATGCGCCAGCGACGTTCCAGCGCTGTATGAATGATTTGTTTAGGCCATGGTTAGATAGGTTTGTTATTGTCTACTTAGATGATATCTTAGTGTTTAGTAAGACCCTCCAAGAACATCAGGGGCATCTCAGGCAGGTCTTGGAGAAGCTGAGAGAAGCTAACTTCAAGATCAATGCAAAGAAGTGCGATTGGACGAAGTCCCAAGTCTTATATCTAGGCCACGTCTTAGACGGAGACGGCATTAAGCCAGAAGATTGTAAAATCGCAGCGATTAGAGATTGGCCCACGCCACGTACGCTAACGGAGTTGCGGTCGTTTTGGGCTTAGCCAACTACTATAGGAAGTTCGTGAGGAACTTCTCCACCATCGCTGCGCCCCTTCGCAGATTGCTGAGGAAAGAAACCATCTGGAAGTGGGATAAGGACTGCACATCTGCTATGAAGAAGCTGAAGCWGGCACTAATAGAATATMCAGTCCTTAAAGTAGCCGAYYCGTCCTTGCCCTTTGTCGTCACTACGTATGCTAGCCAGTACGGCATAGGCGMGGTGTTGCAACAAGACGATGGCAATGGTTACAGACCCGTAGAGTTCATGTCCGCTAGGATGCCTTCAGAGAAGGTTGCGACATCTACCTATGAGAGGGAACTCTACACTCTCAGGCAAGCATTAGAACACTGGAAGCATTACTTGCTTGGGAGGCACTTCAAAGTTTATTCTGAGCACGAAACATTGCGATGGTTAAAGACGCAGGCCAAGATGACACCTAAGCTTACTAGGTGGGCCGCAGAAATAGATCAATACGACTTTGAGCTCAAGCCGGTCAAAGGGAAGTATAACGTAGTTGCGGACGCTCTGAGTAGAAGAGCTGATTACTTTGGGGACATAGTCCATTATCTAGATATAGGGTCAGACCTACAACAGAAAGTTAAAGAGGCGTACACGCAGGACCCCATCTATAGTGAGCTCCTTAAGAGAGTTAAGGAAGCCCCAAAGTCCGAACCATATTACCGCACTACTCATGGGTTGTTGTTTGAGAAGACTAACGTAGTAGACCGTTTGTGCGTCCCCAACAGTGAAGAGATCCGGAGTCTGATCTTGGGGGAATGTCTCGACACCGAAGGACACTTTGGTTGGCAGAAGACTTTAGCCAACCTGATGCACGCGTACACCTGGCCAGGAATGAAAAATGATTGCATAGAGTATGTTCGCAGTTGCAAAGTCTGCTAGAGGAATAAGTCAACTACGCGTGCCCCTTTAGGTCTTCTCAGACCTTTACCTATCCCTGATCAGCCAGGAGATTTGGTGTCCATTGACTTCATGGACACCGGCGTTAAGAGTAGGCATGGCAAGAGCCAAGTTATGGTCGTGGTAGATAGAGTTAGTAAGTATGCTATTTTTGTTCCCTTGCCATCAGAAGCCAGAACAGAATTAGTAATTCAGAAGTTCTTTGATCAATGGGTCAGTGAACACGGGGTTCCGCTGTCTATAGTTAGCGATAGAGATACCCGGTTCACAAGTCTAAACTGGCAGGAATTGATGCGAGTCTACGAATCCAAGTTGTTGATGTCATCTGGCCGTCATCCGGAGACGAACGGTCAGACCGAACAGTGAACACGGGGATCCTGCAGCAAGTCCTGCGCATGTATATTAGACCTGATCAAATCAATTGGGATGAGATGCTGCCCAAGGTAGCCAGCGCATACAACAACAACCTGCACCTGTCAACCTGCTGCACTCCCAACGAGATCCATAAGTCCTTTAAACCACGAAGACCATTTGAAGGGCTTAACCGGGATCAGATTCACAGGCTACAGCCCGGTACAAGGGAGTTTGCGATTCAGAACGAGAAAGAGATAGCAACCGTCGTTGAAAATCTCAGGAAGGCCCAGCACCGCATGATCGAACAGGCGGACAAACACCGTCGCGCTTCACAGTTTCAAGTAGGCGACTTAGTCTGGATCCAGTCTAAAGAGTTTGCGCCTGAAGAGAACATTTCGCAGAAGTTACTGCCTACGTATAGAGGCCCGTGGACGGTTCTGGAAGTCAAGGGCAGCGAAGATGGACCGTCCTATACCATAGAAATCCCAGCACACATCCACACTTACCCAGTTTTCCATGCATCGAAGTTGTTACCTTGTCAAACAAGTGATCAGTTTCCATCCCGTAGGTCTATGATTCCACCAGATATGGATGGAAGGTATGACATCGATGGCATAGTGGCTAAAGATGTATTCAGGACTGGAGGAAGAGGTCGTCCACAGAAACAATACAAGGTTCATTTTGCTTATCAAGAGCTGGAAGACGACCGTTGGTTTACGAGATCTGAACTTCTAGAGACAGCTCCCGATATAGTCCGGGCCTACGATAGACAACAGAAAGGTAACGGTCCTGCCTTAGACTGAAACCGGATCACCTTCCTCTTTGAACGCTGGTACACAACGAACCATTGTCCCTCCGGCTCACAAGCTAACGGATAAGGTGTGCAGCCTTACAACCGGGTCCTATTTATTAGGTTCAATAGGATGGCCACGCATCGGCCAGCAGGCAGATCTTCATCTCCGCGGCCAGCTCCTCAGTCCCTCGATCGGCAGGTGGACAGTTCATCAGCCACTATGTAAGTCTTCAATCTCGCGCCGGACTCACGCTACCTCCATCACTACGATGGGCAGTGTTCCATGTTTGCTTTCAAACGCATACAACCTCTAGGGTCTGGTCCTGCAAGCTGTAGACGAACTCCTCCTCTGGAACTGTTGAAACGGCAGAGCACGAGCTGACGCCGCAACCCAACATAGTATGACACACCTGCTCACTCCACTGACTGCGAATAGCCCACCTGTTGGCTTGCTTGGCTGCAAGCAGCCCGCCTGCAGCTGGCCTGGCACCACTTACATTGATAGATTGAGCAGGCCAACTGAATCTTCAACCAATTCGTGTGTGCATCAACTGCGCAGTCTGCCAATATGCGCAGTGAGAAGAAATCTTCCGCACGAACATAGGAAGATACACCTACGAGAGGGAGACTAGGTACGTAGTACCCCTCCCCTTCACCTTTCCTTTTTGGATCGGGCCAACTATTTGGTCGGGTTCACGTCCTTCTTCCCAACTTTTCCTCGCTTCCCTTGCTTCAAGATGAGCGCAACCCTGCTTCGATCAACCCCCTCATGGAGACTGCTTCCCGATTCACCAAATGGGCGAAACGAGAACGAACTTTTTCACAAGGACATGGGAAAACTGCACCGTCACATAGGGGATTGGATCCCTTGCCAGAACACGGTTAGGTGCACTGCTTATTGGCGCAGTACGGCACACGGCAGCGATCCGCGAGGTAGGCCTGACTCCCCATTTCTACCCCCTGACGCTCTCTCTAACTGCACTTGTATGTCACCCTTCCGTGCACCTGCTCTCTCTCACCAACATTCATGCGCCCGACACAGACCACTGCCTGGGGAGTATCCGATCCCGCACAGATCCTTAAATTCAGAGTGAATCTCCTGCGTGGGTGCGGTCAGATACATCGTGTTCAGAAACAAGCAGCCCCTATAACACATACTGGCTATATTGTCCATCCTACATCAAATCTGACATTGCCATCAGCCTTGCCTCACCTCAAAACGCCATAACCCCCTCTTCACTCGATTCCATTGACGATCGGTGTGTTTTGCTGTGTTTTCTGTTGAATGACACTTCGACTTGGAGAGAAGGTGATCATACTTAGGAAGGGATATTGCTGCGATTTGGAGGTTCGTCAGAGGGCTGCTGTTCTACGTTTGACTACAGTCTGGCTACTTAGTTGCGTTGTACTGGCCATCATTGCGGGACCCTCAGGCATATCCAGATAATAAGGCCCTCTCCTGCGAGTTGAGTTTGTTCCTCTCTTGTATCTCGAGAGTCTGAAACCCCTCCTTCTGCCCTTCTTACTCTAAGTCTAATCCTGATCTGAGAGGAAGGCGGCAGGCAGGATTGCAAC